ACGCATCGATCGATGAGAGACGGTGGCGAGCGGGGATCGGTGAGCGGGCGAACGGCGCGCAGCGAGAGAACGCGCGACATATGACAATGCGCCGAAAAAGTTTTTCTGGTGGTAGGAGAATAATACACCATTTTGCATGTCTGCCGAGTCCGGCCTTCAGCTCCTCCGTGCACTTATTGGCTCAGACGTTTTTCTTAATAATGCGATAATAATTACGGATTTTGTAAAATGGTATATAACTTTTCTTCTCAGTTTAACCCAATCTACTATAATCTTTGGAGTCGTCCATATCGAATCCGACACCCTGTATACATGCTTGGTTCTTTTCATGAGCTGTGACTTACTGAGGTTTCTACAGGTAGATTTCGAATGGGCGGTGAAACTAAATCGTTTGACTTTAGATTTTATTGGACTCTGGCCTACAACCGCACAGAGCCCTCGACAGAAGTTAATGTGCAATGTGCGAGTGTTCATCGCATTCCTGGGAGTAATGTTTGGCATTGTGATTCCATGTATACATTCATTAATAAGAATTTCGGGAGATCTCATGCTAATGATAGACAATTTAGAATTTACTTTGCCGGTCGTAAGCTGTACGATAAGAATCGGAATTTTTTGGTGGAAAAAGGAAGGTAAACTAATTATTAAACCCATATCGTTAAGTTACAAAATGTGATAAAGAATATGCTTATAAATAAAATAAAATAACTTGATCTATATAAATATAAATGATGTAAGAGAACTTACATTTTGAATACTGTGTATAAAAATTCCAGATTACCAAATTTGTTTTCATTACTTTTAATAACATAGACATATAGTAGTTTTGCTGCAAATAATTACAATAAAAATAATATTAATTTTAGTTTAATTTACTATATCTCTATTGTATAATGGACATAGATCTTAGTTGAATTTAGTTGTATTGTTCAATATGCATTTACATATCTCACATTGACACGTTTGAAGCTATCATACCGATCATGAAAATGATCGCGGAGGATTGGGCAAAATTGACAAATGTTCAAGATAGAAAGATCATGATTAGACATGCGCAGAACGCACGCATTATTATTATTTGTGCTTATTGCATAATGGGACTAGCATTCTTCCTTTCCTTCGTTCTGCCGATTTTTGGAATATCAATGAGGTTGACACCCAACATTACTGATCCAGGCAGACCTTTGCCTCTACAATCATATTATATTTATGATATAACAAAAAGACCGCAGTACGAATTAACGTTTCTTAGTCAAGCAATCAGCATGATTCCCGCGATCATGGCTTATTCTGGAATCGACAATTTTCTCGGATTACTAGTTTTCCATATATGCGGTCAATTGGATATTCTTAAAAATCGTCTGACAGGTCTAGATAAATATGTCAAAACTCAAGATACGTTAAAGAGCTGCGTGATAAGACACACTCGTTTAATTAAGTATGATATACTTTTATAAAATTTTACAAATAATTTGTGTTACGTGTCTGTATTATTAATATACTTAATACGAGAAGTATGTTTTATAGAGCTATTGAGATTATTGAAGATACGTATAACATAATACTACTAGTATTATTGGGATACCTTGCAATACTTTTCGCTTTCCTCGGTTTCCGAATAATTAGCGTGAGTATGGATACATTTAAAGATAAAAATTTGTTTATTAACTGTCACGCAAAAAGAAGTATTAAAAATTATTAACATAACGATATTTAAGTATTACTACATTTATATGATGTATTATAATAAATATCTAAAATTATGTTAATTGTAAAATACTGTGTGCTCTTAAATGTATACAGGGTGTCGGATTCGATTTGGACCACTCCAAAGATTATAGTAGATTGGGTCAAACTGAGAAGAAAAGTTATATACCATTTTACAAAATCCGTAATTATTATCGCGTAATTAAGAAAAACGTCTGAGCCAATAAGTGCACGGAGGAGCTGAAGGCCGGACTCGGCAGACATGCAAAATGGTGTATTATTATCCTACCACCAGAAAAACTTTTTCGGCGCGGTGTCATATGTCGCGCGTTCGCTCGCTGCGCGCCGTTCGCCCGCTCACCGCTCCCCGCTCGCCCCCGTCTCTCATCGATCGATGCGTGACTCCACCTCTCGCTATCGGATCTTGAGAGATGTCAACAAATACACCATTTTGCACGTCTGCCGAGTCCGACCTTCGGCTCCTCCGTGCACTTATTGGCTCAAACGTTTTTCTTAATTACGCGATAATAATTACGGATTTTGTAAAATGGTATATACTTTTCTTCTCAGTTTGACCAAATCTACTATAATCTTTGGAGTGGTCCAAATCGAATCCGACACCCTGTATATATTTTTTACTTTAAATAGATATTCAACGAAGCGAATGAATTACCACTCACAACCTTGGTGTTTTTTGTATCTATGAATTTCAATATATTTGGACAAATGGGTTTGTACTGTGCTCTAGGCGAATTTTTGGTGGCCAAAGTAAGTTACAGTTTCTATTTTTAGATAAACATTATATGAGTTAGATGTGCTCTGTTTTCCTTTATATTTATGTTATTATAGGATTTAAATGACATTTAACAAAGACTTTAGTGTTAAAGTACAATAAAATCAAATACTTATCATGCATAAGTGCGTAGCAAAAATAAAATTAGTAACGCAATATAATATAGAAGTGTATTAATGTTTACTTTATATTATTTAAATTAAATTTTGTAAAAGTTATATTTATTACAACTTTTTTGTAGAAAAATTAATTGCTTGTTCTTTATTTACATGAATACATTAATTGTATAATTTAAATGAGATAATTTAATACAAATTTCTCGAAGATCAACGGCTAAATTAATTTTCTTCTGGATTAATACACATACGAATATAATAAAATAGATTAAAGTTTCGCACGCTCGTCTTTATAACAAGATTAAAATAACACTAAAAGCAAGGATAAAAGCCAATAATTGTACGAGCAATTATTTTTCTATTAAACATCTAACATATTTACTTAAATTAAAATGAATATTTTATAAACATCTTACAATTACTTATTCGTTTCTTTGTTTTTGGCGGTGAACAAATGGTAACAATTTAACTAAATATGTTAAATGTTTAATAGAAAAATAATTGCTCGTATAATCATTGGCCTTTATCCTCGCTTTTAGCGTTATTTTAATAATGAAATAGACTTTTAACACATTTTAGTGCGATGAAATGTATTATGCGGCTTACAGTAATAAATGGTATTCCATGGATCCAAAACTTGTACCCGACTTGTTGCTTGTACTGACAAATGGTGCTAAACCGATTTATCTCACCGCTGGAAAAATGTTCCCCATAACAATGACCACATTTTGCAATGTAAGGTATTTTAGTGCCTTATTATAATGATTGTGGTGAAGCATTTGAAAATGACATTGTAATTAAATATTTTTCGTACAATAATCTATATTTTACTCATTCAACAATTTGCAAATATTTTTTTAATCTGCATACAGGGAGTCGGATGTACGAGTGACCAATACGAAATGGAGGTAGATTGGTTGAAATAAAAGTTTGTACCATTGTGTAAAATTCGCAATTGTTATCGAGTAATTAGTTCAAACGTCTAAGCAAATCAGCATGTAGAAAGCGGTAGACCGGATTCGGAAACATCTAAAACAGCTTATTTATTAGATTTTCTAGAAACAGTATCATCTGATCGAGAGGTGGAGCGATGCGCGACCGCGCCGACGAAAATTGTAACGCAACGAGTGGCGACCCTCAGATAATGCTCATCGCTGCTATGACGAGATCTAATAAATAAGCGTTCTTACATGCCTTCCGAGTCCAGTCTACTCAAACATCTGACAATAAGTGAATGAGCGTGTAGCACACTTGTATGTTTGAATTAATTACTTGAGAACATTGCAAAATTTATAAAATGATACTTAATTTTTTTTTTCAGATTATCGCAATCTCCATCTTTCGGTTGGTCAGTTCTACGTCGGATATCTAGTGCGCCTTGCGCACGCGCGTACACACATACACACACACACACACACACACACATTATATTTTATATGTGATTATAAATTTATTATATTATTAACTAACACTGAAAAAATATTGTTTTCAGTTGATAAAAACGTCAGTCGGATATATATCTATTTTACATACAACAAGAAATTATTAGAAATGTCTGATCAAGATAATTTTTCTAATGTGCTTTTATAATGTGTTATTTTTATTGTAATGTAGAATGTGATAAACTAAATGTTTTGTAATTAGTAAAATTAGCAAATAAATAATAGATTTCACTGCATGATTTGACAAAAATGTGTTGAAATTTGTACTAGATGATTAGAAAACAGCTTGCAATTAAACTCAATTTTATTTCAATCCGAAAAGATTTATATTTTTAGGAAGCAAATCCATCGATTCACTTTGTGTTTACATGTATTTTATTATGTGTATGTGCAAATAACATAAGAATGTGAACTGTGCTAATTTGCTTATTTTCATCCAAGTTATCAACACGTGAGACATGAATTTTAAATGTGGAAAATTCTCATTATGAGTATATGCATCTCATTAAACAGAAAATAATTTCGTTTTAAAAGTATGAATATCATTATTCAAACATTATTCGAAAAATAATTATAAAGACTTTGAACACTTTTTAGCATGATGAAATGTTTTTATGCTTCCTGCTGTAATGAATGGTATTCCGTGGATCCAAACTTGCACGCGACGTGCTGTTTTTGCTGGGAGGAGCTAAACCGATTTACCTCACCACTCGATACATGTTCCCCATAACAATGACCACATTGTGCAATGTAAGGTATTTTAATGTCTAATTATAGTTATTGTGCTGGAGCATTTGAATAACATTGTAATTTAAATGTTTTTCATACATATAAAAATGTATTTTACTAATTCAATAATTTATATATATGTCATTACATCTACATATGCTGTATTGTCTACCTCCATGACTCTCATTTTATATTTGACATAAAAATCATCCAAACATGAATATAGATTAGGATAATTTGTCATAAAAGAATAAATGTCAATAAAAGAATCTCAATAATGAAAACATAATGATCTGGATTATTGAAGTCAACATTTGTTATTTTGAATTAATGTAATTGTAAGTAATAATTTTCACACATTTAATTACTAAATATCAATGTTAGCAACCTAAAAATTTATTTAGGTACCTGTGAAAAGACTATGTACAACGGTGAATTCTATGTAGTCAATTGCTAACATAAGTGTGGTGATGTTATAAGCTATAACTAGTGGCAAAAACGTGTGAATATAACAAGTGTCCACGGGTGTTTTTTACGTGACATAACAACCTGCTATTACGAAAACTTTTTTTATTACTTCGCGTGATGCCTATACGTTGAAGACTTAAAACGAAGGGAGGCGGAATATTTAAACCACTTTGTTGCAAGTTGATCGTTCGATACTTTCAAATAACGGCATAAAGAGCATGCGCGAGAAATGGGTTCTGCTGTATAGATGACAACGTTACTTACTGGAAAGAAAGCACATGTCATTCTGCAGACAACGTTCAACATGAAAAGATCAAAATATACCGTGTATCAAGGTGCTCAACATTGTGATTATTATGACTGAAAAAAACAGTAACTGTATAAAAATTTTTGTAGCATTTTATTATGTTGATGTTTGCCATACCTTAATATTCTAATAAATATTAGCCATTTAGTATTACAAGTGTTTAAAGTAAATCATTTTATAGTTGTTTACTATATTCTAATAATTTTTTAGTTGTTTATTAATAAAATGTTATTGGTGATTTGTTATTTAAATATTCCATTTTATGCATTTTACTAAACACGCTATGTTACACGTTTTGCATTCAATGTTGGTTTATATACATGCTTGGTTCTTTTCATGAGCTGTGACTTACTGAGGTTTCTACAGGTAGATTTCGAATGGGCGGTGAAACTAAATCGTTTGACTTTAGATTTTATTGGACTTTGGCCTAAAACCGCACAGAGCCCTCGACAGAAGTTAATGTGTAATTTTCGGGTGTTCATCGTATTACTGGGAGTAATGTTTGGCATTGTGATTCCATCTATACATTCATTAATAAGAATTTCGGGAGATCTCATGCTAATGATAGACAATTTAGAGTTTACTTTACCGGCCATAAGCTGTACGATAAGAATCGGAATTTTTTGGTGGAAAAAGGAAGGTAAACTAATTATTAAACCCATATCGTTAAGTTACAAAATGTGATAAAGAATATGCTTATAAATAAAATCAACTAACTTGATTTATATAAATGATGTAAGAGAACTTAAATTTTGAATACTGTGTATAAAAATTCCAGATTACAAAATTTGTTTTCATTACTTTTAATAACATAGACATATGTATAGTAGTTTTGCTGCAAATAATTACAATAAAAGTAATATTAATTTTTGTTCATTTTACTATATCTCTATTGTATAATGGACATATGTACTTCTTAGTTGAATTTAGTTGTATTGTTCAATATGCATTTACATATCTAACATTGACACGTTTGAAGCTATCATACCGATCATGAATATGATCGCGGAGGATTGGGCAAAATCGACAAATGTTCAAGATAGAAAGATCATGATTAGACATGCGCAGAACGCACGCATTATTATTATTTGTGCTTATTGCATAATGGGACTAGCATTCTTCTTTTCCATCGTTCTGCCGACTTTTGGAATATCAATAAGGTTGACACCCAACATTACTGATCCAGGCAGACCTATGCCTCTACAATCATATTATATTTACGATGTCACAAAAAGGCCGCAGTACGAATTAACGTTTATTAGCCAAGCAATCGGCATAGTTCTCGCGATCATGTCTTATTCTGGAATCGACAATTTCCTCGGGTTACTAATCTTCCATATATGTGGCCAAATGGACATTCTTAAAAATCGTTTGACATATCTGGACAAATATATCAATTCTCATATTATTCTAAAGAGCTGTGTGACAAAACACATTAATTTACTTAGGTTCGATATTTATATAAATTCATATAATTTGCACGAAATATGTGTACTAATCAAATATCTGTAATACAAAAGTTATGTTTTACAGAGCCATTGAGATTATTGAAGATACGTATAACATAACACTTCTAGCTTTATTCGTTTACTTTGCAATACATTTCGCTTTCCTCGGTTTCCGAATAATTAACGTAAGTGTGAACATTTATAGATAAAAATTGCTTATTAACTTTAACGCAAAAATAAGTATTAAAAATTATTAACACAGTGATATCTAACTGTTACTATATTTAGGTATACAATGGATTGTAATAAATATCTAAAATTCTTTTATTATAAAATACTGCATGCTTTTACATATTCTCTAAATTCAATAGATATTCGATGAAGTGAATGATTTATCACTTACAAACTTGGTGTTTTTCGTATCTATGATTTTCAATATATTTGGACATATGTGTGTCTACTGTGCTCTAGGCGAATTTTTGGTGGCCAAAGTAAGTTACAGTTTTTATTTTTATATCAACATCATATGAGATAGATGTACTCTGTTTTCTTTTATATTTATGTTATTATAGGATTTAGATGACATTTAAGAAAGATTTTAGTTAAAATACAATAAAATTCAATGCTTATCACACATAAGCACGTAGTAAAACTAAAGTTAGTATCGGAATCGGAATATAATATAAAGATATATTAATGAAGACATAATATCATTTTTGTTAAGTTAATTGTTGTAAAAGTTTCATTCATTATAACTTTTTAAGTAGAATAATTAGTTGCTTGTTTGCATTCTTTATTTTCATGATTATATTAATATATAATTTAAATGAGAGATCAAATTGCTTCAAGATCAATGGCTAAATTATTTTTCTTCTGGTATAATACATGTGTTTATAATTTTACTTAAATAGATTTTTAACACATTTTAGTGTGATGCAATGTATTATGGAGCCTACAGTAATGAATGGTACTCAGTGGATCCAAAGCTTGCGCGCAACTTGTTGTTTTTGTTTATGAGAGGAGCTAAACCGATTTATCTCACCGCTGGAAAAATGTTCCCCATAACCATGGCTACATTTTGCAATGTAAGGTGTTTTAGTGTTTAATTATAATGATTGTGCTAAAACATTTAAATTTCACACGTGCGCGCACGCACACAAACATCTTAAACTTTATGTGCGATTATACATTTGTTACGTTATTAATTATCATTAAAAAATTTATTTTCAGTTAATGAAAACATCAGTCGGATATATATCTATTTTTCATACGACGAGAAATTATTAGAAATGTCAGATAAAGAAAATTTTTCTAATATGCTTTTGTAATTAGTTATCTGTGTAAAATGCAATAAACTAAGTGTTATGTAAATATAAAAATTAGCAAATAAATAATAGATTTCACTGCATAATTTAACAGAAATGTGTTGGGATTTGTATTAAATTATTAGAAGCAAAATAAACTGCAATTGAACGAAATTTTCTATTTTAATCCGAAAAGATTTATATTTTTAGAAACCAAATCCAACCATTAAATACTAACTTCAATACTTTTTGTTTATGTGTATTTTATTATGTGTATGTACAAATAGTATAACTATATGAATTATGCTAATTCGCCTATTTTTATCCAAGTTTTCAACATGTGAGACATGAGTTTCAAATTTTGAACATCGTCATTATGAATACGTGCATTACAGTAAACAGAAAATAATGTAGTTTTAAAAGTATAAATATTAATATTCAAGCATTATTCGAAATATGATTACAATTCAGAATGATTAGTTCAATCATATACATAGACTTGTCGAACTGTTTTCCTTTGTGGTAAGTGGACAATAATTTATATATTTTGTTATAAAAAGTGTAACTTAATAGTTAAAATATAAATATTGAAGTTATTGAAGTCAAGATTTGTTATTTTGAATTATTCCTTAGGAATATTTGTCACGCATTTAATCACTAATCAATTTAATAATTAGAAAATTTCTGCAAATTTATTTACCTGCAAAAATAAAGATGCTCTATAAGAATTTTATGTGGTCCATTACTAATTTGTACATATCGATTTAAGTAGCAACGATTTTTGTTTCAAACATTTTTTCGACTGAACAGAATCAAGCATTATTTTATAAGCACGGTCTAATAATGAGCCCGCGAAATGATACGCATAATGTACAGTAACAGTCACAGAATATAGTAATTTGAAACACCAGGTATAAAATTTCCAACTTACATTTCATATTTCGTAGACGGGACAACGAACTAACAACGTTTTTTTTTATTGTTTTTCTCTCGGCGCGGTATCGTACGACGTTACGCGGGCCATTGTTTACGTGAAGGTCGCCGAGCTATCATTCGCTCGCCGAACGTCGTGCCGGCAGGCAGTGTCGAGAGTCGCTCCGTGCGTCGTATTACTTTTCCGTTATCAGTTTCCAAGACGCGATCGCGAAGAGTGTGAGATTGAAATACTATTAATTTGTACACGTTTGTCAGTAACAAATAACGTTCGTTGATAAATTATTATAAGATTCTACAACTTGTAACGAGAAACGATTTACGTGTTAAGGCGACATGAATGTAAACCATGGTACTTTAATCGTTTGGAACTTTGTAAAAATTTAGAGCAAAGAATAAAAAAGAACTGGCGCGATTACAACTCGTTTATGCATTGGGCTTTGAATTACCTGTCGATTTCAACGTAATTTACTTTCCATTTTGAGGAAATTTTCGGGAAAGAGAGAGAAATTTGTTGCTGTATGTACAGCTTTGTGTTTTTGCTGAAATTCGTTCTGTCGTACTTCATGGCTTGAACAAGCTTATAAGCAAGAAGTAGAGAAAGTCGCTTATTGCACGTCGTTACGTCTCGAAATGTGATCGACAATTATCTCAGTTAATTATTACAATTAAATAACAACTGTTCATCGACTTTCATGGATGCTTCGCGGTTTATTTCGCGTATAGATTTGATTAAAATTTCATCGTTTACAGATTACACCGCCAAATTAAAAGTGATGTGTCCATTGGTATTTTCGAATCAAAAATACAAGATAACTGTGCGTATTGCCGGTTTGAATGATTTGCGTGACGGAAACTCATATGCAGTTAATAATATTTGGTGTGTTTTACGGTATTTCACGTTACCGCGTCCAGTGGGCAGGAGCCATTAGTGCCACGAGGAAATCTGAGAGGATGGAGGAGGTCTGGGAGGCATCGGGCAACGACGAAGCAACCATGAGGTAAATTATACATATATTTTATACATGTATTATTTGCTACCTGCAAAATTAAGATTTGCTCAATGTTTTTGTCTTATTTATTCAAATGAGTAGGAGTTACAGACAAAAACATACGTTAACATTTTTTTTATTTTAAAGGAGGACTTTATTCGAGTACGCTATAATTATTTAATTAAATATTTATTTTAACAAATAGAAAATGTTTAATGCACCAATTTTTATTTTATACATATAATTAAATAAATAAACAATTAAATTATTTTGTAATAATTAGATGTATATTTGTATTTTACAGGTCAATATGATTATGATATAAACTCCGTTGCGCATCGTATTGTGAGTGATAAATCACCTTTTATTTTAAATTGACGTAATGGGTTTGCATAAATACTCTATTATAATTATCTTGTTAGTTGTATCTATTTTAAAATACATATAAAATATTGCAATAACTTCGATTTTGAATAATTACTTTATAAATTAATCTTATCACACGATAAAGAATATCTATAACTAAATGTTTAGATTGCATTTTATTACTGGATTTTTATTAAATAATCTGATAAATACATACGAAAAAACGGGGTGAGATTAAAACGGATTATGCAGTATTCTTTCACATTTCTTTAATTTTCTAGCTTTATTCGCTTTAAAGTTTTTAATTAAACAATTATACATACACAAGTAATATTTATTAAAATAGAAATATTAAAGTAAAATAACAAAAAACTTGTAAAAGAACAAATATGATATGGTATTTGTATAATAATGTTGTTTTTAACATTGTGTTATTAATTTTAATGTAATAATTGTTTTTAATAATTAAAATTGCATTTTGTTATACATATATCCAAATATCGGTTATATTACATTTAATTATCGCCTGCGTTGTATGTCTGCAGTTTTGCACTAACAAAATAATAATAAAAGCGTAAATTATATAAATGTCATTAAATAATAATAATGATGCCACTATGTTATTTACTTAATTTTCTAGATAATTGTAAGAATGTATAATAATATGGCTGTTAAAGTGTGAGTGTGTGCATGCACACGCGCATGTAGGTACGTATACTTCAATATAATTAAATACATGTATATCAATTAAATAATACTTTGAATTAAAGTATTAACCTGAACAAGTTTTCTAGTATTCATCATTATTACATATTGAAGCGTCTTCTAATAATATCATAATATACGACACATCAACTTTTGTAACTTTATATTTTACAAAGTGTGTCAAAGTCACAGCATTTTTAATAGTAATACTCAATGTTCCATTATCTCATCATTAATACAATCTCTGAATTATCACTTTTAACAGTGTATTATTTTTCTTATGAATATGTCAAATATAAATATGTCAGGGTATCGTGTTTCTTATATAATAAATATGTCAAAAATATTATTAAACAACATATTATAAAAA